AATTCAAAAACTGAGTAGCAACGATGATCTCGATGACGCACATTCGTCTTTAGATAAACCGAGCAAAAGTATTAAACGACGTCATCGTCCTCAAATGTGTTTAGATGTACGTGTGAGATATCTTCATGTGCGTTCCATATTTAGATACGAATGACAACTCTATCAACGTTAGATTATCTGCGAATTACATCGATAGGAAGTACATTTAACGTGACGCGAATGTCGATAATTGATTTGTTTTATTTCAGCATAACTCGAGCGCTGCAAATCATCTTATTGTCGAACAATTATTTAATAATTTACTATTTGTTAATTAACTACTCGTTTTGGTTACTTTTAAGGATGGCTAAGCAGTGGAATAACACGACATAAATACACATACCAACTTTATATATTATAGTGTCATGAACAAGATTTTCTTAATTTAGGAGAAATAATAGGCACATACGTCCCGTGTGTCGCGTAAGAATTTTCTGTTCGTGACGCGAAACGCGGATCTCGTTGCGAAGAAAAATACGAAGAAATAAAACGTAAGCACCTAATACGGCGTATAAATTCACCATACAAAACAGCCTGATCATCCGTCCTCCGCTTCCTGTCGATCGCCTTGATATTACCAAAGCGTGCACATTATCGGAACAACTGATCTAACAAAGTGAACCACGGTACTTTTCTGCATTGTCGTGGAAAGTAAACGCCACGACTTTTCACTGGAATAAAGTCTAAAAAATCGTTAAGAAAACATCTGTCAGTCTAACATAATCTGACTTAATCTTAATCTAAAAACAAATGTTTTCAAACTAAATTTCTCCAATTAATCTGTAACCTAATCTATAACCTAATGACATTTGAAGCCAAAAAACTGCTTTGATAAAGAGAATTTATGGAATAATTTTCCAGTCTCTTAGTCAAATGTTTAAAAATAATTCTCCTTTAAGGAGAATTTCACTTTCTGTCTTTATTAATATTGATACAAACTGCAAGTATAAGCAAATAAATAATACTGTATTACAGGAAATCTTCCATGTTGCAGAATATCAAACCTCAAAAGATCTGTTAGAGTACGAGAGCCGCACATCTTGAATAATATTCTCATATATATATATATGCCCCATATTGCTTTACCTCCGCGAGGAGGAAGAGAGTTTCACAGACGCATAATTCGATCGTAACGTAACGTCTAACTGTAATATCTGCTTGTTCTCGTAAGATGTTACGAGGAGCACGTTTTATTGGTTAAAAAGTATCCAAGTTGTGCATTTTCTCTCTGATAAAATCTTACGAATTACTGAATTACTCTACAGTCGAGCGAACGTTATACGAATATTACACCTTTGCAGACTCTTATGGACAATCGATTAGGAAAAACTTTATTTTACAATTATATCTTCTCCGTCATTAAATATTCTTATCGTTAATATATGAATATCAGATATTTGTGGATCTATATTTTTGTACTAGACATCTGGCCCAAATTCAAGTGTATTTGACGAGTTTAAAAAACTCTGGACTTTCTCCAGAACGAGGCTTCGAACGAAAAAAAAAAAAAAAAAATCGAGTCGTCCTTCTCATTCAAAAATCATTCAAATTTCATTTCAGAAGCGTGTCATTGCAAATCGAGAAACAATTTCTAAATGAAAAATTACGAGTCGGTCACTTGACAATTTTCTATTAATCAGGAAAGAGAGAAAAAAAAAAAAAAAAACGAAGACAAGAAACGTGAACGACGTCGATCGCGTTCCGCTCATAAATATCGCAAGAGTATGAACAGATTTCGTGCTCGAGTACCCAAACGAAATGTATGGGGAGTCGTTACGGTCCGGGCCGTGCCGAGAATTTTCATTTCATTCAACCCGTGAACATCCCCTTTTCGACTCTTTCCCTCCCGTGGCGTGCAACGTCCAGCTTTCCCTCCCTCTAATAGAGCTCTTGAGCCTCGAAACTCCGACTTTATCGATATCAACGGTGTGACGGGCCATCACACATAGAAATCGCGAGCCGGCGTTAACGCGATGCACGAACCGACCGTGAAGAAAAATCAGAAGGTCGGGAACTCCGTTCGCAGTTCGAGGGATCAATCGGCCTTCGTTTCGCAACGCGACTCCGTAACTCGAGGCTTTAGAACTTTCTCCTCGGGCAACTGGTTGTATCGCCAGTGAGAATCTCTGTTCCTTCGACGTGGAAACATCGGAAGAGGATTCGTTCTTTCTTCCTTCCTTCCTTTTTTTTTTTTTTTAATGAGAATCAGAGTAAGCAGAGGGGATTTCATTCAATCGATAAGAAACTGCAGGGTTCCAATATTGAAATTTTCTTAGCGAGCGACAAGTGTTTCATAAGTATCAAACTGATCGATTCTAATTTTTTTAACGAGTGAAAAGAATGTCGAACGAAAGATCCTAGAAAGCGAGTGAGGAAAATGATAAGATAGAGAAAAGTTAAAGAAAGTGATAGAATTTAGAGATTTATTTCAAGGTTGTAATACATACATACACAATTCCAGTTTTTCTCAGTTTTTTGATTTCGGTGAATGATTAATATTCTTCGTCCACAACTCACTAAGAAACAACATCATATAAACGCAGCATTCTATTTGCAATTTATTTTCTATCAATTTTTCTTATCTGTAATATTAATCTATGAAAAAAAGATTCGAAATATCTGCTCGATGTTTTTCTCATCATTACATTTTCCATCTAGATTCTATAATTCTATGAGTTTAAAGAAATTGAAGTATTTATTAATGCTATAATAAATTATTGCTTCTGTAAGTTCATTCTTCTCAAAATGATAACAAAAATAATAATAAATTCAAAAGTCACAATTGATGGAGTTAACCAATGTGATTTCTGAATGAATTATGTATGTAAGTATATGGCCTTTTTTGACACGTTAATTGATCATATTTTCTATATTTCCTACAATTATTAGTCATCTTTCTTTGATATCTTTCGCCTTGTTCTGTATCGCTTTGTTATACAACCGTGACTAACTCCATTCTGAGAAAAACCGCATTACGATAACACATTGAATTTTGTTTGAACATGTATTACTATTTACACGTTTCATATTACTTTTCGTGATATTTTTTTTATTTCATGAAAAAAAAAATATAGCAAAAACTATATACGATTTATTAATAATTGTAATCAGTCATATGTTAACGCGAGTTGTATGAAAAAACGATGCAACAACGATCTACGTAATTACTCTTTGGAAAGTTTTAATAAGCAACTGTTCAATTCTAATGGTATCTAATTGTAGCTTGACGCTCCAAGAGAAAAAAAAGCTTCCTTTGTGAGCGCAAGCTTTACGATGAAACTATGTATTTATCGCAAAACAACGAGTTGATTAACCAATGAAAAGGTTAAATGAACGTTGCACTGCAGAGACGTTTAAAGTTCTTCTGAGTCACTATATTAACGTCAATAATGTTGAACATCTCGTGTCTGAACATTGCAAAACATGCCATTTCGAAACAACGACACAAGTCCGCTAATTAAAAATCTCTTACAAACAAATTACTCGATATCATCAGCAATCACGAGAGAAGGAGTTCTCTTTCTGTTCTAACGCGATAATAACTTCAAGAACAAAAGTACGTGTTTCGAATAAAAAAATTTTTAGAACACATTCATTATCTAAGAAGAAGATGTATCGTATTTTCAACATCAATATCTTTTCGAATATTAAATTACATGTAGGATTTATTTCAATATTTAAGAACGTTGTATTTTCTTGTCTAATCCGTTTAGCATACGTAAATTCATCTCTTTTGTGCTACCATCTATTGTTTCAGCGTGAGAACACATATCCTCATTATCTTTGTTTCAATTCGTAGAAGAAAATTATGTCCACGACATCTTTGTCATGAACGAAATGTTAATTTATCATTTCTATCATCCACGTTATTTGTTATGTCCCATACCTTAGTATCTTTCATACTTTGAAAAATACATTTATGAAAAATACACGTTAATAAAATGGTTTGTTATAAAAATAAAAAAAAGTACTTGTTGGAGTATTCGGATGGCCGAGCTTAGAATATTAGAAGCTGCGCTGCATTTACGTTCGATCGAAATCGTAAATTCTCTCAAGAGTCGAATAATAAAATATGTTTCAGCTAGCTGTCGGATTGAAAAAGTTCTTAATTGCAAGCTTCGTTAGCCAGAAGCCACGGCATTCGACGCTCGAAATGCTTGAATCGTTTCTCCCCGGAGAATTTCAGACCGCTCGGAATACGAATGCCTCCACGCTCTTGCAAATCGATTTCATTATAATTTCGTTACTCGTCGGATTCCTCGCATTTCGCGTTCTTTCACGACGCGGCGCGACCGGGAATCGCCTCTAACCACGACCAGTCAAGGATTAAACTTTGAACGACGCCCAAGGACCTCTGGCAGCAGCAAAAAGAAGTCCATAATTCTTCGAATCGTCCTTCGAAGGGACAAAACAACAAACCACCCGCGCATTTTCAACGAGATTAGAAACACGTCCTTGTACGAGAACCGTTCTCGAGCCGCGGCGCAATTAATTTTACATTTTTTCTCGGCATCTCAATTTGACGATGCAAACTGCAACTCTTCAGAGAGTTATACTCTTTGAAATATCACCTCGTGAATTTATTTGACGACAAATCGCGAAGAGTAGGAAACTTTCACGACGAATTGCGACGAACGGCGTGTGTAAATTGAAATAGTCAATGGGTCTCGTCTATTACAATTTTCTTGGTCCCCCCAGTAGCCAACGTTCATTCGACGAACAGAAGTGCAGTTCGCATTATTTTAAATTAAACTATTGTACGTGCTTCTTTTTGTGTTCTCTACGGTGTATAGCCCGCACGGCGCGTTTCACTTTCATTCCAGTTGAATAAAAAATTAACACATAGCCAATACAGTCCGCGTAATTACGTATGTTCTTAGATAGATATCGTAACCAATCAACATTCATCGTATTTATGTTCGAACAAGCGTAATATACATTGACAAGAGCGAGTTACTCACCACCGTTCTTCTCGTCCTCCTTCGCTTCATCCCCTACCGGCTGGACACTCTCCTTGCTCGTGTTGCACCCCATTTTCACTCCGGCTCTACCTTGCTCTCTTCCTTTTTCCTCTATCTCTTCTCTATCCTCAGTCAAACGCAAACGCCCACTCGCGTTACTCGCGACACTCGCTGCGCGTAATTCGCGACTACGATCGACTAATCGTAAACGGTTTCCTCGTTGACATCGAGTCGCGAGACGAAGGACCGTGGTCGCACGTTGGGAAAAAACTGCCGACACTTGGACCGGCAGGGACGAGTTGAACAGTAGGAAAGATCACAGCGTTATTTTCGGCGTTTCCAAAAATCTCGGTTCTTCTCTGGTGGCCCGGAGAAGGTGAACGACACGTCGCGGTACCGGCGTTATTCGCAGCAAGCTTCGTTGAGAGACGAAAATACAATTGATTCTTTGTGATTGGTCAAATCGTGGACGTATCGTAAATTCGATCGGTTACGCCGTCTCTTCCCTTCGCGAGTTTAACAACCGGTTAAGAAAAATATATATGTATGTATGTATGTATATATATATATTTATATATCTATATATTAAAACACTGTACAAAAGCTACTTGCCGGCGAACACTAAACGCTAACCTACGAATATACCACGAACACAATTCTCGTCGGCGTCGCGAGACGTACTGACACTGCCGACGACCCTGCCCTTGCGTCGCGACTACGCGAGTCGATATATATTCCTTCGTGATCTCTGTCTGCGTAAACGTACACACACGCTGCATGCGCGCGAAAACCAATAACAGTGTGCACGTCTACGACGGATCCTCCATATGCAACCTTGCTTTCAGAGATGCTGCAATTTCTCGTAATTTTGCATCTTTCGAGTTTCCACCGAGGGGTATAGTCGGTTTCGTTCCTGGGTGTATCTCGTTAGTTAACCACGCGCCACTCCCAATTCTCGTGCACCATCCAAGAAGAGAGTAGTTTTGCAAGGTTCAATCGATTTCATAAACGGATAGATACTACGGCCGGTTGTTTTATTGTACTGAAACGACGAGACCGGTGGCAGACAGGCGCCAGCAGCTCTCGCGGTCTTCCTGTTTTCTGGAACGAATATCGATTTTGTAGTTTTGATAATCCTCCGCAATTTACCACCGTTGATGATTCATATTTCATGGACGCGACTTACACGTTTGTTTGCGTTTCGTAGTCGCGTGACTCGCGAGAGCGGTACTGACAAATAGCTGTCGGTAGTTTTAATGCTTCTCTGGCATGCGCGATTCTCCCGATACAGAAAATATTAAGGATAAGAAGTAACAATGATTAGTAACGAATTTAATTAGCAACGATGTTTATTGATTATATGGATGATAGAAATTATATTTTACAATGTCTAATATATACAGGATGTATTAACATTAATATTTATATCGAAAAATCTGGGAATATTGATGTATTAATAGGATGTATTAACATTAATATTTATATCGAAAAATCGCTAGTCTTTCAGAGATTTCACATACAGTACATATCTTTCTCTCTTTTTTTTTTTTTTTTTTTTTTTTTTCAATATCTCCACCTATTCATTTGGCTGTATGTTGTAATATTTTACTCAACGATTCAAAAATATTTGTAAAAATTTTTGAACATCCTGTATATTTTCGATTCCTTGGTTAACAATTAAACCATATTGCTCGTCATGTGTATAACGTATAAAAAAAAAAAGTTAAACGTGTACATTTTACATATCAGAAGTGCTCCATTTATAAGCTTCTTCTTGACGCGCTACTTTGGCATTTTGCGCTTCAAACCATCGTTTTTCGTAGCCATTACTTCTGTCGACTCCGTCCCATCTATGACCAGGTTTGACACCGAAACGATTTGGCATAAATGATCCTTCGTATTTTGGTTGATCTGAAAAACATACATAATCGCATATCAATTAAACCATCGTCACAAATACGAAGATTTTCTCAGAATTTAAAGTATAACGCTTTACCTGGTTTCCTCTTCCCTTCTTTTATCTGTTTTTGTTTAATATATTCTAACATAGGATCACCTTCTCTTTCTTGTTCCCTAAGTCTTTTGTCTAAATCAGCATCATCTGCGTACCTTGCTAAAGGCTTACTCATTTCATAAAGATCGTCTTTTAGTTTTTCTTCACGATCCTCAACTTGTTTCAAGCTGATGTAACAAACATGTTTTTTTCAGAAATTTATCCACAAGCACAATAATTTCATTTTACAAATTGGATTTCATATTCACTTACCCTTTCCCCCATTTAGCGTATTTTTCGTCTAATTCCGCTTGTCGCTTCTGTTTCTCCCGTTCTTCCTTCGCTTCTGCTTCCAAATCGCGTTTTTTACCTGTTTTAGTATCGCGTACAATTGCTGCTTGTCCAATTCCTGTAACTTCTTTGCTAAGCTGAAGAAAACGAAATTTTGTTATTTTTTAATAAGATGTAAATTAGAAATTAGAAATGAAAACTGAAACTTATCCAAATACCTTGCTAAAATGTTCAGCTTCTCGCTTTTTGTATGCCTCTGTTTCTTCTCGCAGTGTTTTAGCATCTTGTAAGCCAGCTCTTTTTCCATCTAATGTTTTTTTCATTCGTTTTTCGGTATCTACTTCGTCTACACCCCCATGTTTTGATATTTTTTCCTTGACATAAATGTCTTCTTTGCGTGAACGATGATTAGAATCGTAATCATATCGATCACCAAATTTATTCGATTTGGACTTATAGAAATCTCTATTGTCTTCTCTATGTCTATTTGAGCTTGAGTGGATATCTCTGTTTCTTTTACGAGACGGACTTATATGTGAATCGTGCCTTCTGTTTGGATTTTTTTCATAATGTTTATACATTCTACTCCTACCAGGTTTTTCATTTCTATACTTATGATATCTTGGTGAACTTTCTTTGAACGAATTATCGTGCCTGTTTCTTCTTATTTTGATTGACTCGTCGTGTCGACTTCTGTATTTGGAATTCATATGAACATTCACATCTCTTTCATATTTTCTAGTAGGTGGGTTACGTTCAGAATGATTATCCCTCGTCCTATGCTTATGATTTTTACTTCTTCTTGCTAGGTTTAAGTCTGATTCATAATCTTTACTTTTTCTATTTCTCTCAGGATTCAAATCTGAATCAGTATTTTTTTTACTTTTTCTAGGAGGACTCAAATCTGAATCAGAATCTTTCCTACTCTTTCTAGGAGGACTCAAATCAGAATCAGAATCTTTTCTACTTTTCCTAGGAGGGCTCAAGTCTGAATTATTTGCATTTTTATGCTCTGTACTTTTCTTAGATTTGTGTTTTTTATTTTTCCTCGATGGACTTAAATCGGAGTCATCAGATATTTTCTCTTTTCTTTTTGTCTTCTTTTTCATTTTGTGTGATGAAACACCTGTGTCTTGACTGCTATCACTGTCACTGCCAATATGGTTAAGATTTCTGTGTTTTTTAGATTTTATTCTAGGTGGGCTTAAATCACTATCCTCATCTTCTTTTGCTTCTCCATTTGTCTGGTTCTTTGTCATTTTAGATATCCGTGGAGGAGACAAGTCGTCGCCTGAATATTCTTTTTCTTTTCTCAATGGATTCGGGCTATTATCAGAAATGTGCTTTGCTTTTTCGAATTGCTCATTTCTTCTATCTACACTAGTGATAGTTAAATCACCGTCTTCGTCATTAGCTATAATTTTCCATCTTCTTTTGTCAGTGAAATCAACTGGCCCACGTTCATCCACCACGCCAGCAATTTGAGGTGCATCTTCTGCATCGATGAAAATATCAAATTCATTCTCTTCCATTGGTCTCAAATTTTTCAGGTCTATGTCATCGTCAATGATCTTTACTCTGCAAAATACATCTCAACATTTGTAGAATAATAAAAGAAGTGAATAATCTTTGAAGAATTATTGCCTAAAGTCGTTAAAATCAATTGTGGATTTTACAATTTGGTTTGACCAAAATTTTTTGCGCATTCGAACAATCTTCCATAAACGTAACATTCAATTAAGAAAATGATAGTAAGTAAGAGTATTTTATTTATTATGCGTTACAGTTTCAAATATTCGAAATGTTTCATCTTCCAAGAAGATATGTGAAATAATTACTATAACCTAAAACACAAGGATTTCCTGTTGAAACTGTCGAAACGAGCTATGATATTTGTAAATTTAAACTTACGTTTTTGCTCCCAATTTCGCCTTTTTCTTTTTCTTTTTCTTCTTGTCATCTCCTGAGGACAAATATTTTTTTAAATATTCCTTTTGATTTATAACCTTTCTTTCCATTATAACTCACGCAAGTGCTAGCGCGCAACTACGCGCTGACCTACTGTAGACATTTCGTGGCGCATTCACGCGGGGGCGCCACATTCACTATTTAAATATTCCACGAAAATAACAATTTGAAAAATTGTATATATATATATATCATAATTTCTTTTTAAATATTACGATAATAATAACTATAATTTTGGAAACTATAATTTCAAATTTAACTCGTGTATAATTTAAAGCGTTAGAATTTTTCTTTTGAACTATGAAGAAGAACGATTTAGAATAAAGATTTAGTTTTGTTTAGAATATACGTTACACTTATTTAACGTGTAGAACTTAACAACTTAACACTTAAGGATGTGAAAAATATAACCGTCATTAGCATAACAGAAAATACCAAACGATGTATAACCATAGACGAAATGTATAAATATACCTCATATACCTCGTCTGTGGCATAACTTGTCAGGACTTAGTCATTGCTTAACTTGATTTTTAAATATACAATCTTTCTCTACATAAATTTTTATTCAATATATATCAATACAATTGTAACATAACAATACAATTGTAACATAAAAATTAGTATCATGAAAGTGTAAATTTAGTTTTAATCGATAAAAAATTAACAAATTATTATATTTGAAATTGTAATAAATTCGTGGAAGCGTAACTTTGCGATAGAAATGTAAAAATTATTAAATTATTGATTGGTATAATAAAAAAAAAAAACTGTTTTTCGAATTATTAACAAATCAAATAACTCCCAAAACAAGACATGGAAAAGCATTGAATCGTTCAGTTAGTCAATGCTCACACACGCGAAAAATACGCAGCTATACGTATAATAATTTTCATATTGGCTGGTTGACTTCCCGGTGAACTCATGCACCGTGCCGACCTTATCGGCGGAGAGTATCAGGCCACGGGTTATAGAGAACGATCCACGATGCAGAGTGCCAGACGAACCTTATCGATTTTATTCATCGACCGCGTGTACAGTCCGTTTAGCAAGGTGATGTGATACAGCAAATCTAGACGATCTAATCCCGTGGCTCGATGTACAAGAAACTGGAAGCGGTTCTTCATTGGCCGCTGGAGGAAAGCAGGTAATTACGTGGATTGGAGGTGGTAACGGCGACCGGAGGTAGGGGAGCGAAAGTGAGCACAACTCCAAGAATGGGCAGGAAGAGACGGGCTCCTTGAGGCCTGGTGGCAGACAGTTTGACTGATAATAAGCGTAGGAGCGTCGTTATTGCAACGTTTCCATTCAATCGAGTGGCAAGTGTATAGATCGCCGTGGTGAACAGCAATCAACTGAGCTAGTGGAAAATCGCGACCGTAAGGTACGCGAAAAATGAAAGTGCGGAGGAACGCGATTGCACGATCGAGAAAAGGCTGGCTGGCGGAGTGAGATTCCGGTGACGTTCCAAAGAGAGAAACGTAACGTGCGCAAGGTTATGGGCGTGCTGCTGGTACGATCCAGTGTGTGCCAGTGATTCTCACTGACATGCCTGCTGCGGTCCCCGTTGGAAAAAATTTCGTGCTCGCAACAACTTGGCGCATAATCAGTTACCGCGAGGCCGCTCTGACGCGAGCGTCGTCCGTCATCCTTGTCGTCGATCCTTGAGCAACGTGCTGCATGACATCATGACGCGAAAACTCAGCAAGTTTTTGATACTCTTCGATAACACGAATCTCTTGTATTTTCCCGGCCACTTTTTGTCCGGTCGGGTACTTATCGAGTTGGACGACGAGGCTTAGTAAGTATATACCATCTTTGTCGTGTAACATCCAAGAAATCGCGCGAAATCTCTTTAGCCAAAGCGAAAGATGCTTTAGTCATTTATACGTGTTTCTATTAAATTATTCATAAAGAGAATTGAAAGAAAATGTCAATTATTGATGTCTTCAAAATTTAAATTGCTAAACTGATTAACTTTAGATTAACGTGAAACGAAAGCTATTTTGGAGTTATATTTTTGATTTTTTACGAGACAAGGGAGCGCGTGAAAGCGTGTACATTACGTCAAATAATTACGTTTCGTCAGATGTATCTTAATGCGTAACGTTTTCTATTGTAGACACTGAAAACTTTCACGATGTAAATTACGAATGGTTACATAGTTATATGATTGATTAAACGAGTATCTAGCAATTGCAATATTCGCAATAAAATAAGATAATGCGAACTTTCCATCTTGTTAGAAATCCATTAAAACGCATTGTTTTGTCGCAATTGCACGCAGCGCTCTCCAGAATGTTAATTACAACAAAATAATTGTCATGCCGTTAACGATATTGAATTTTTTTCCTTTTTTAAAAGCTGCATTATCTCGAATACATCGTTATAATTAAATTAAATTTCTTCGAATCGAATTGTTAAATTTATTTTGTCGACTGTAATAACACTCTCGATGTATCACAGTGTTTCAGGGTTGCATTTTCATGTGATCGGTGAAGGAGTGGTGCGTGTACGCAGTCAACGCGCCGAAAGAGTTTACGACAAAGAAAACTATATAGATTTTCGTATGAGATTGCTGGGTGAGCCAGGTAATGAAAAGAAATTACATTACGGTACATTTAATGTAGCCGTTAAGATGAAACGGGCACAGCGTGTTCGGATAACGAGCTCTCGGATGATAAGCCTGCGATCTGGAACATCTTAATAGATAAATGAACTTTACACGAATTTTTCATAAATGCTCACAATAGCCAAATTGATGAATGACGTTCTTCCTCTATTTAAAAGGAACTATGTTGCAAAATAAATGAAAATTTTATATAATAATAATAATTTCTCGGCTTTCTCGAATGTTGAATTTAAGATCTTATTACGTATTAATAAAAAATTTATCAGAAATGCTTGCATCTTTTCACCAACAGTAAGTAACGATTAGACTGCGGATTTTTATGCATTTATTAAAAATCTGACGCAGCTAAAATGCACGCCATTCAGAAATAGATAAATATCAAAATACAATACTTAAATCTTCTATCTAGCTTAAACATTAATTACATTAATAAAAATCTGAATTTGCATATATCCGCAATCTAATATAATACGATAGTTCGTCATCGTATATTTGAAAGTCGTCGAATTTTTCACTTCACAAACGGCGCACCCGCGAGCCGCACGGTGCATAATAATACAAAAACTGTTTCTTTTTGTTCTCTGTCGTACAACATCGGAATCCAGGAGAGGGACCGTCGCTGCTGTCACCGGGGATTCACAGCTTTCCATTCAAATTAGGCCTACCACTGGGCCTACCGTCTACTTTCTTGGGCAAACACGGCTGGGTGCAATATTATTGCAAGGCTGCACTTCGGGAGCCCGGCGGTCTGACGCACAAGAATCAGCAAGTCTTCATTGTGATGAATCCCATCGATTTGAATTTAGAACCGCCGATTTTGGCGGTAAGTCTCTCTCACTCTCGCTCCCTGCTTCTTTATATACACTTCTGCTCAGAAGTTTGAAGCATCCTTTCAGATGAAATAAATTTCTAAATATTGTAACTGTGAGTTTGCAATTAATCACAATACTTGCATACAATTTGTCAGTTTGCAATTAATTAATCAGAATACTTGAAAATTATTATTAATGTCATAAATAATAAAATATTTACGTTCTTTTAAAGAACTTTTGAACGGCAGTGTATATCTTCTTATGGATGATTTAATATTTCATACTTATACGTTCTCTTATTGGGAACCAATAAAATTTAGATAAGAAAATGGAGGATACATAGTGGACTACAATATTTCAACTATTAACGATCATTATTATTAACTTGCGGATATTTATTCAATTTTATATTTTTCTAAACAAATGAAATCTGAATAGAAATTTGGATTAATTATCGTAATATGAGCTTTATGTTGACCTATAACGTGTACTCTACTTTCGATATTTTATATATATTTGCATATTGTAAACATTCTTTACATTCTTGCATCTTTCAATTTTCAAATCCGCGATCTAGTAATAACTTAATAATCTGTTTAATCTAATAATAACACGCAGTAGCGGTTATTTATAATTTGTAGAAAATCGATATTTTGAAAGAACTCCAAAGTAGTTCCTGAATCTTTTCGACAGTCATACTTTCCTCTTCTGTTGGAAATATCAAAATAGTATATTTTAATACAATGCTTGTATTCAAATTTGCGCAAGCTACGTTTGCACGTAAATGAACCGCGCATTCATGCATTCCCCTATTTCACAGCCAGGACGATCATTCCTGTTTTGAACATCATTATTCGGCTTACGCTTTCTATCCCAAGCGTGCAATTAGACGAAGCCTGACACGCGCATCCTAAATCGCGAAACATTGCCGGTCGGTTGATTTTATTACGATTGCGATCACACTAAACGTGGTATTGCACATGTAACAATTTAATTTGCAATTTCGCTGCACGCAACACACTCGTCTGATTTCTAATCATCGTTTAAAACAGCCAGCCTCACCGAGTGAAACGAACTGTATGCAGAAAAATTAATGCCTCGCAGAATAAGTTTGTTCAAACATCAACCCGGTGATGATTATCTAGTGAGAAAATGTAATATGATTTGTGTGATGTGTTATCATATGTTCCGATCGACTTGATTTTTGCAAGCAAAATCTCTGGATTTTGTCTAATCTTAAGGTGTTCAATTCTTTGTAGTTTTCTGTTAGAGCAAAGATTCTTACATACATATGTATGTTTAGATTGCAATATATTCGTGAGTCTTAAGTTTATTCTAGATTTTGGAAAGAAAAATATTCCGTTTGAATAGATACAGATAGTGAAGAGCAAACTGAATCAATAACAATGAAAAATTATTGAATTTCCAGTATTATAATTAGACGATGAGATATTAAGATATCTTGAATTTCTATCGTTTAACCCTAATATTCAAAGTTCAATAAAATGAAGAAAAAAAATTGTAGAGCAAATTTTAAGGGGACATTACAAAGAAGAAATTTGTCTTCAAGATTACAGGATTTAGTCATGAAAAAAATTTTATTTAATATATCACTTGAGTATTTAACAAGCAATAAAATGATACATTCTTATCACTCGAGTCATTGTCGAAATTATGCAGATATTAATGCAATAATACAGATATTTATCACAGTTAGATTAAAATAGTTTTCCTAGATTCTGAACGACTTTATGAAGGTTTCACGAACCGCTTAACGACAAAATTCAGCGCGGGGATCCATCCATTCTCGTTAAAATGAAGAAAATGCATGTACATGTACAAAATGTATGTGGCTTTCCATGCATGCTTTCCTTCTTCAGCATATTATGAGAGAATTTTAACATAACCGGGTTCTGGATAAAGGTCATTAACCTGCATAGAAAGCGATCTTTGTCATTATATTACATATCTTTTTCTTTTTACTTCTAGTATCAAATATTCAATCATTAACACTTGTTTCTGCTCCCGTATTTCATGGATAATATTTCTCATCTTACTTTCCATTCACGTTTTTCTTTCTTTATTTTCTAAATTATATTACTTCCTGGCACATTTTCAATATTACTTTTACATTTCGTTTAACTTTTCGTCTAGTACTTGTTTCTCTTTCTTTTATTTTATTTTATATTTGGGAGGTTTTATAGCACGTTACAATGACCATTTTCCTTGAATTTATAAATTGCAATATAAATTCTTAAGAACTGGTTTCGAAATTTGTTATAATGATTTCGCTTTGCAATTTGTTTGCAAATTACAACATAGTTGTATTATTCTTTTCTTGCTCACACACGTTTCGTCGCATGTTTTGTGGGAAGTTGTTCTTGTTTATGCGACCAAAGGAACACATTCACATCATACCAGATAACATGTAATATAAGATAATTCTTACGTAGGCATGTGACATTCAGCTTCGAATGCGACCGCATTGTTGATTCAACTATATAGTCACATTCATTGCACACGCCTTGCATTGCATAATCGAGAACTTCCCAAGTGATAGTATTGATCTCTTGTTCGACGAAGGAATAGATGAAATTTAAAGATCCAAGGATTGCAAAAGAACGCGATACATATTACTTTTTTAGATATATATTTTATTTTCATTATGTACTTCACGCTTTCGTTGATGTAGTGAAACTTTCAAATCGATATGCCATGGTTCATAAAACACTTTCCAGAAAAAAATTGTTATGTATACATGTATCATGTAGAAAAAATTTGACATTCCACTACCATTACAATGACAGACCATTATTATTATGGTTCAGCAAAATATTGATAAAATTTGAAATTGAATATATGTGAAAATGAGAAGATATTCATTCCAAACATATATTCGATAAAACACTGGTATACTACTTTTTGATGTGCCAATTATTGGAAAACAAGTAAAATTTTCTTACATTTTCAAAATAATTCTTGTAATTTCTATAATAATTTTTATCAATAATAATAATTATGGTTGAGTCTTACCACAGTGTTAATAAAATATCGTATATAATTCACTTAATGTATTTAGAAAAAGTTCTTGCGCGTATTCGAATATTTTTGTGATCAAATTGCAAATTGATATAAATTGAAAGCAAATTCGATGAATAATCAGGAAAACTTAAGTATTTGTATAATTTAATTGATAGCAACCGGCAAGGCAAGAAATCGAGCAACGAGTCGGTGTTTCCTGCGTTTCCGGAGGTCCTGTATTTTGCAGAGTAAGCTTGGACAGAGGCGGATACGTACCCGGTGAAACTATCGGGATCTCAGCGACCGTCAGCAATCGGAGCAAAGTATGTATCGTATTTCGATTCGATGGCTAACCAAAAGAATTTCTATCTGGAAACAAGATCAGCATAATACGACACCGTCACACATTACACCAATCTGCAAATGTTTCCCTCACCTGAAATTCACATGAAGTCACGTTAACTAAATAATTAAATATTACTTAACAGATTTAACAATTATAATTATACGACAATTATTGCAAGGTTTCATTAAGAATTTTAATTGACAATTACACAGTGCAAAGGTAACAGCTGAAGGAACGCGACACTCCAAGCATCTTAATTACAGTCATAAGTAAATATCGAACTCTAGTTATAAAGCAGAATTACCGTAATGTAGTGTCAGAATAAAATTGTTTCCATCTTTTACAAATTTCACAACGGAAACGGCATGGATATTGATATAATCGAACAGCGAAACACATTGCAAACAATACAGCAATTACTCCTTGTATTGTGCGCATGTGATGCAAGATCCACATTTAAGTATACATGTAGGATCGAAATGATTCAACAGGTGACGATGAAATCGACTAAAGCATCCTTGACCGAAACAATTCAGTACCTGTGCCGTGGTAAAGTGCTCGCGAGCGAGACGCGAGAATTAGCCAGCGTTTCCAGGGGGAAAATCCGTCCTGGAGAAGGCGAGGAATGGTTGAACGAGCAAATGTACGTTCCACCGTTACCACCCACCAATCTGCGCGGGTGCCACCTCATCAACGTTCTTTATCACGTCTACGTAAGTATAAACGTTGTTTCAACTGTTGTTACAATAATTACCGTTACACGCGGCATTACTAAAGCGTCGCACTCTCCTTGCTGCAACGTGTTTTTGCCACAAAACTAATGCGTCTGCGGCCATTTACAGAAAGCACCGACTTTCTTCTCCACGGTTCTTCCTTCCACTTTTTTTCTTCATTATGAAAGTGTCACTTATTGAGTTTAAACGCGTAGCTTCCAGCTGCGGTATAATAAATAGACTGCGGCATTTATTGCAATATGAAAAAATATAATATAATATTAAGATAATATAAATTTCTCATGATAAATTTGTGTATATAATTATTTATATATTATACGAATCAGTTAATCTTTATTGGAATTCAATGTTCAATATTCACAAATTGTAACGTTAACGAAATGTTATGCACGAAAGAATAATTTTCATGATGGAACAATGCCACTGTGTATACGAGATCTACTGTGCCATAAATCTTAAAATTCTCTGGTTTCATGATACGTATATAAATTTAACTTGCCGTCTCATTGACTTTCTCGGGGTTTGTGTCGCTCGATTCTTCCTCAAGACTGTTTATCCCAAATACATATCGTTCAAGTCGTTTACATTCTATCTGTATAAACATACGGACACGTAAATTTCTACAGGAATAATCGACAACGGATTTTCAAATTTGGATATATTTATTATATTTATATTCTCGGATATTTTTATTATATTGTAATATTATATTTTTGTTTTTATTATATATGTTGTAATATGTTTGTTACAGTTCGTAATAAGTCCAAAGAGTCTGGACAAAGAAATCAAACTGCAAATACCAATCGTTCTAGCTACTTATCCCTTAAGACAGGAAGGTGCTCCAGCGGGAACTGCACCGTCGAAAAGGGGAGCACATTATCCGTCAACGTTGCCGATATTTCGACCATGGTTGGACGATAAGGCTTTCGAAATTCAAGAGTGAAGGTTTAACTAACTTTCACCGATGATGTCTAGAAAAAAAAATCTCAACGAAAATCATATCGCAAATATCGACGATGATGATACGAAAGATGTAAAAGAAATTCTCTGAACATTTGAAGAAAGTTAATACGCTTATAATAATACTTATCTCGAGTTAAACTTGACTAAAAGTGCTTACAAATGACAGACGAAGACATTATTTTTACATTCCATTTTGAATTGTTTGTTTAATCGAATTTAGAAAGTATAGAGAAGAATAGAGCATCTTTCATAATTTAAAAGTTTTAGATTTAAAAATATATAGTGATATATATATCATTTTTGTTAATATCTCGTAAATGTCTATAATGAGTTACAAAATGTTGTTTACAATATTTTAAATACATTGAAATATATGATATTTTAGATATTTATATATTGTAAATGATATTTTTAACGAAAAAATAAATGTATATTAAAAAATCAATATATATACATCGAGAGAAAGCTTAAATGCGTCAGCGAGCTTCATGATCATATATTTCATTAATGAAAATTATTAACGAACTACTTTTACAATTGTATAAAGTTATTTTTCGATTGTATAAATTAACTCAGCATGTTTGAACATAAACGTGATTGCCATATTTATGCACAATAAATATGACTTATCAAAGTGAAGAGAATTGTAACATTATATGCACTAAAAAAAGAAGTAGCTGTTTATAACAAAAGACAAAAGTACGGTAATTGTTATTTGCTGTTATTCTCAGGTTCCCATTTCTCCTTTTAATTTTTCCAGAACCTTTTCCACTGTGGTTCCAGACACTATTACGACCTTTTGTCGACTTTTAGAACCCTATAAAAGATGAGCGTTTAAATTAAAAATAAGAAAGAACTAAAGATTTAATTAGTAGAAATTAAACTAACTCTATCTAACGATACGTCGGATTTTCTCATTCCCAATACGGAAGCTAAGTATTTCACGAGTTCCGTATTTGCTTCACCTTCGACCGGAGGTGCGGATATTGCGACGCCCACTGCATCCTCAGAAATATCTACAAAGTAATTTACACTCTCACATACATCTGATTTCCTACTTTTAATTCTGTTTTAAATATTGCAACATATTTTTACCTGTTATATTATTATGTTTCGCGCCAGGTTTTGCTTGAATTTTTATGGTGACATTCCCACTTTTATCTAAACTTATAGGCCCTTTGGGTTCCTACCAAAATTGATCTGTTTGTTATAAATATTCAAAGATGCAATGTAATTTTAAATTTCAAATAGATATTTAGTTAAAATATTACATTATACAAAACGTGTCTATGATATTAATTATACACTGTGCGTGTAGTATCACTGAATTACTAATAGCGTTTCTTTTTTAATTAAGAAATTCGAAATAAAAACTGACATTTTTTTAGAGAATATCTAGTGAGTTGCAAATATAATGTTGCCATTCGTGAATTCGCAAGCGACACCTAGTAGCGTTAAATACAAGTTAACGGTGTACCATAGAAAATGTCATGTTGTTTTCTTGATAGGTGATCAAATCTCGATCACATATTAAATTCTAATCCGTTCAACTGAAGTTGGTAAGTTACGATTTTTATAATTCACTGACCTCGTTAACCGTAGCTTTCTGACCTTTTCCAGCTTTCTTTGATCCTTGCTTCGACATTTCGCGAGTATTCGTAAGATATTGCCAAAATTTTCTACGCAAACAAGTATTGCCGAAGTAACGAATCATTTACAATCTGAAAATCACTCGAGTTATATTTTAGACGTAGATGGCTGTTAGTTGATTCCGATGTTTCTTTAACCTCAACATCTTTGGCTGATCGAGATGTCTGCGCACGTGAAGCTATGTTGCCAACTAAATCGCAGTAAAACGCTATGTTGGCGCGATTTATCAAATTATTCGAATTTGCCGGTTTTTTCATTTGTGACAATATTTCGAACATTACAATTTATATAATTTTGTAATTAAATAAACTGATGATATAATTAATGATAAAACTTATTATCAGCAGATTTTTAATTTACGCTGTGATTATAATAAAGATTGCAGATCAAGATGCCAAAAAAATTTGTCGGTGAAAATAGCAAGGCCGTCGCTGCTCGAGCCAGAAAAGCAGCGGCGAAAGAGGCCGAAAATACAAAGAAAGCTCTCGAAGCGGAAGAAAGAGCTTGGCAAGACGACGATAAACAGTTATTAAAAAAGAAGCAAAAACAGGTATTTGAATAGCACTTGTTAAATTTTATTATCTGTATAATATTTATTTACTTAATAATTCGCACTCAATTTGTTTAGTACTTTACAAACTTATTTTATAGGAAGAATTTGAAAGAAAACGTCAACAACAATTAGAAAAGAAAGCAGAGGTAAAAGCTCTGCTTGAAAAGGAAATGGAAAACATAAAAGTGGGCGGCAAACAGCCTGCAGCTAAAGTAACTAGAGCAGAAATAGTTGCTGCAACGGAAAAGCGAAATCAGGCAGCAATGAAAAAACAAGAAGAAAAACCAATTGAAGAAAATTTGAATAGGCTGACAATAGAAGGTGAAACTGCTCATGGTATAGATGAAGCTTTATCCATATTAAGGTAAGATAGATGCTGACATTTTCAATGAAAGCAATTGTTTTATATTATTGAAAATGTATTATTATTTGTTACGCAGTACTAAAGAAGCCGAGATTGATCGTCACCCAGAGAAACGTGTAAAAGCAGCGTATGCTAGTTTTGAGGAAAAAATGATGCCTATTATAAAAGAGCAAAACCCTACTTTGAGGTTAAGTCAATTAAAACAAATATTGAAAAAGGAATGGATGAAATCTCCAGAAAATCCACTCAATCAAAAATTACTTTTAAATCGTTGATATCAAGCGATTATAAAATGAAATATAAACACCCATACGACTGATTAGATGAGTCGAAGGAACACGTGGAATAAGACTCATAAATGTAATCATAAACGAATCAAATATCTGTACACAACTTTATTGTAAACGAATAAGTTATACTCTCGTAGAATACATAAAATAACACTGTATAAATCATCTTTGGTATAACTTATACGCTACTGCATAGCCTCCATATTGTATTTTACAATTTCATTTACAAATATCTTTAAATTCGATCTTCAAAGAGAAATAACCTAACAATCGTGTACACGTTTTGGCACAGTTACTCTGCAGACTTATACTTTATAAACACGAGCGTCCTGTTGGTTTCTCTTCTTGCTACATGGCATTAAAAAATGACTATACAAAAATTGATTACTTCATTTCAATTGTATAAAATAGCACTCTATACAAACGAATTTTTACTACCATAAAATCTTGATTATGTACAATAGACCTTAGTCTTTGTCTCAATTTGCCATGACAAATCAAACATCACCTTTTGTTTTCTCTGTTTCATGTACAATGAGTGAAATACCCGTAGAAAGAAATTGATTTAAATATAATCGTACAATTACATGGTCCACAAATTGTCTTTCTAGCAAACACATGTTTCTATTTATCTTTTCGCTACCATTTCTTGTTTTTCCACAAGTCTATGAAACAGTGTATCATGTGATTAACTTGCTTTGGGCAATCAGTCATAGGGGTATGACCAGCAGCTGGGATCGCTTCAAGAAAAGCTTTCATCATGGTCTAAAACATAAAACATAATGATTACAATTAGTATTAAAAAATGAAATGAAAATTATTTTAAAACCACCGCCTTCTGAGAAATTTAAGACTTTCAAATATTCAATATACTTGAAAATAAATTGATAGTATTTTAACGTCAATAGAACTGCTGAAAAAAAATGTTTAACACGAATGATTATAGCAAATGTTTTTATTCGTAAGTTACAATCACGTGAAGTATCATGTATTATCTAGAATTTGCACGAAGATTTTCTTCAACTGTTTACTCAATTTACATTAAAAGGACTTTTTGGATATTTTATGCAGGTAATTTCCTTACCTGAAATAGAAAATATAAGAATTGATGCCTAAAGTATATTTGCATGATTCTCTATTCGAAAGGAAGCTGAAGAAGGAGCAACGTACCCTTTCCATTTGGCATTCCTGCACGAGCGACACTTTGTTGTCCCTTAGGCCATGTATGAGAAGCGTCGGTGTACATATCCTTCTATGGAACACGTAATCTCCTTCCGGCCAGACCATGCCGTCCAAAACGTATTTCATATGCGAAGGCCATTGCTCTGGCGGCTCGGGACCGCAGTAAGGGTGTTGACGGCCCCTCGCTGAATATAATATGTCTCTGTGAAGGCCGCACATTAAAAAGGGCGCCAGAATCGCTCTGAGACAACAGTGACCAGCGCTTTCGGTACTGGGTGCTGCTAAAGGTGTTGGACCACCTCCGGATATCAAGACTAGCTGGTATATACTGCTGTTGTATTTGCAAGCTAACGCAGCTGCAAAACTACATCTGAAATCGATGGGAAATCACGCAATCGTTTTATCATTGCACGTGTGCGATGTTTCTTTTGGTTGGAACTCCCGTTGGCTTCCTCTGAAGTTATTTCAACTAAATACATAATAATTTGAAGAAGCCACGCACGGTCAAAGATATACTTGGAAAACGACATTACATATGCACCAATCTAATAATTTATTTTACGACTTCGAATTTTTATATATTTATGAAAAAATTGTATGTGCAAAAATCTACGCAATGCACGTAACATGCATAATATATGAAATACTCAGTAGATAAAATAATTTTCTATTTGAGTTCTATTTTTTTGGCATTATTTTCATAAAAATATAAAATCGCATAAATATTCGCAACCTACATATGGCTATCCAGGTGTAAAATAAATTTGAACCTTCCACAGGCATTTAAAATAATAGATATTAATGTTAAAGTTGCTATTCAAAAGACTCTCGTGAAATAATAATAAGTTTTTATTTCGTTCAACTGGGACAAGACTTAAATCCCGTAATATATCGTTGTGTGAACTTCAACAGCTTACCAAAGGACTCATTAACGAGATCCAGAAATCACGTTTAATTTATATGCGTGCCAGTCGTGTAATATCCCTTCTTTATATAATCCATACTGCGTGCTCCGTAACGCGTTTATTGCAACTTTAACTCATTGCCGTAATTTGTGTAGGATACAGACGTTCATTTTTCTAACTAAAACGAGGAACGGGTATATTGAACCGTTCGCGGGTTTAACCAGCGGCCTACATGTCGTGTTGCAATGTCGCGCGAAGGATTAATAGAACTTGCCTCTTTATTACAGCATCGTGTAGGTCGTGATGCCAGCCGAGTGACCGTATTCGTTTAATTTGCATAATAAAAAAAAAAAGAAAAAAAATCAGCAAGCTTTCATAAGATACGGTCAACCGATTGGCAAGCTACATCGCTACGATCTGGCCGATTTAGGTCGCTAAAAGTCTATTTTCAAAATTTCGTCTGAATTGTAAAATTTTTGCTGCTCTCGATAATTTTTTTTTTACCATCAATGCACTCATAAAGCGCATTGTGCTTTGTCGAAAGTTAGACATTTTCGTACCACATTATTTCGTACACATTTTGCTCTTCATATTCTGTGAAGAAATTTTTGTTTCGAAGGAATTGTGCAATTTTTTTCTTTATTATGAAAGTTTTCTTTCGACAATTTTTACCTATTTGTTACGAATGTTTTTGTAATTATTCATGTTGGAGTATTTCATGAATAATTTTGTTATACATCAATATTTTTTCTAGGCACTAGTTTGCTTGATTCTCTTGATATGTTTAACATATATTTTTTGATAACATATTTTTTGTCATATTGACAAAAAATGGCCATTTAATTGCCATTCAAACAAGAATTAAGAATTGAAAAACGTATCAACTTGCCTTATAACGATAAATACTTAGCTTGGGAGACGATGCTTTCCACTTATCTGTGGAAACATCATTAGAGAAGGAACAAAATCGCTTACACGTGCTCCCCTAATACAGGTCCAGATGCACGATGCGTTTCGCGCGAATCTTCGATACGGACCATCTTGCAGATTTACGAGTAATGCTCAGATAAGATACACGCGATATAGCCGCCATATGCTGCAACCTTTTCTTTCTGTTCTCTCTTTGGTCAGCACTCGACAACGTATCGTTGCGTAAAAAAATGTAAATGCGACGATCAAGCGTGGATGACTATCCTCCTAGTTTCAAAAGCGAATTGATACGGATCAAGGGGTATGCAATAATGACGCGGTCTTTGCAATTCAAATGATTTTCTATCGGTGTTGGCGCACGTTAGCGTCAACTCGAGCATTAACGTTGAACGAAAACTCGTGCTGCTGGATAAAACTGAAACTAAAGTGTTAGTATTGAAAAATAATTTCACAGACAGACAGATAGCGGTTAATTGAATTTCTACTCTGTTGCATGCTGGCACCGATTAATAGGTACATTCTGTACAAGACAAGAATCAGGAATCTTTTTCAAAAATAGAAATAAAGAAGTTGCAATTAAGATTGAATATATCGCTAAATACGACGTTAAAATTTTTAAAATCGAGAATAAGTAATACGTTTATTACTAAGTCTTTTAAATATTTTTCAATTATTAACACGCGACAATATATGTAGATGCTCCATTTTAGCAGGAGGGTAGACAAATTGATTTATGTTTGCAAACAAGATAAAGGGTTTTCACAGCTACGTATGCAGGTTAAACATATATAATGATACATAATGTTATAGTACGTTCACGTTTCATGGAACATCTTATGTGTCGTAAATTAGTTTATACATACAACAGTTTAGTTACTATGTGTTATAACTTACCATCACTGAAAATTACACCCGTATATTACAACATTACATTCGTGTAAGCACAGGAAATGTTGGCAACATTCTAAAAATACCAGATTATTGATAAGGCGGGGAGCTCGATTTAATCCCCCCCCCCCCCTCCCCTCGGTCTAATTAAATCCCAATACATTTATCTTTAATTACCGCAGGTGTCTGACATTTTTCGAGTGCGTGTAAATAAAATTTATATAGGCCTACTCTAATTACAGGAGATGTTGCAAATTTGTCGAACGATTTTTCTTTTTTACGAAACGATTATCGTATCAATCTTTAAGAATTGTTAGTTAGGAATTTCTAGAGGCTGCTTTTCACGAGCGTATGAAATTAAAAGGTATAAATATTGATCGACGCTGTATGTATATTCGATAGATTGAAAGAGAGAAGAAAAATCTATGCTTTGCAAAATGAAAATTCAGATTTTCTTGAACAAGAGTGGAAAATAATTTTAGAAAACAGACATCCATTATTTATCAACAAACACGACGAGTTAATTATTTTTTGATTAATAATAAATAGATTATGGATTTTTATATAATTTCATATTTTTACAAACGGAAAAAACAAATATTCTAATGTATATAGAAATACATTTTTCACTTCTTTTTGCAGGTATAATAATCTACTGTCGATTATTTCTTCCTACTCAGTCCCGAATTACTCAAATTCAATTTTGAAACCCGATTTCCTCGAAAACGAAGACTGGAGAGAAAATGAAAGAAGGCTGTTCCTTCTTCTCGACTTACATATGTCTGCCTGCCAGAATTCTGACTGATTGTATCACGATTACATTCTGTGTACTTCTCTCGTAAAAATCTAACAAAGCGGAAAAGAACAATGTGAAAGCTAATCCCAATCCCTGTTTCGCGATATCCGTGACGAACACTCCAATACGAAGAACACGCGCATTTTACGCCAAACAGAATTTCTCTCCTCGCTTCTCTCTCGTTGCTTATACAGGGCTGAATCGCAATTTTCTCAAGGGGAAAGAACGAGCAATGACAAAAAGCTTTTAAGCATTACGATACGGGTGGGAACGAAGCAAGAACACAGCCAGAGCGTGCGCTGGCAACGTCTGTAAAAATGAATCGATCACCCCGACGAATTTGAAGAACTCCAAGCACGCGGATTAAATGCGCGTTCAGGTTCGGCCATTAGCCATTTTATCGGGTGAACGTGTGCAGCCGATCGCTCGTACGCGCAACGATTCAAACGTCAAGAAATTTGTAATCATCAGATATCCGATAAGCCACTGTCTCGCGTGTATACCCCGTAATTACGATACACCAGATGCTTTTAAATGGTTTGAAGATAAGTTACGCGACTGCAGCTAAAGGCTTCTGCTAGCCACGGTCAAATAATTTTATAATGGTAATGAATAGACGGCGGATGTTTATGCAAATATAGATTTTTACGGATACAACTGAAGAGAGTTAACCTAATTTAACACAGGTCGCTAACGTGGTACAGGCTTAACTGCCTTTTGTTTTCTGTTTTTTGTTTTCTATGGTTACTTGAAACTGTTTTCGAACGTGCTACACAGAAGCATAGATTGCTAGTTAAATAATTAAAAAATATACAAAGCCAAATCACTAGCATAGTATAGACCTCACCACATTTTATTTAATTTTTCTCTTGATCAACTGAATTTGGTTAGTTTTCAGAGTCGAATTTATTGTATATATATGTACAGCATAGATTGTTAATTAAAGAGTATTAAGAGAACTATAAAAATCTAATCTAACATAATTATGAAATATTTTCTGTGGTTAACTGAAACTTTCTTCAACGTAGAATTTACTTTGAATTTGTGGCATATTTTTCTATAGTGATTCTATTTCATTATAGTGATTATTTACGTAAAACGATAGCTAAAGAGCCAACATTTAAATAAACATGCTGCTGATGATTTCGACCATGAAATAATTTCACTCGTAATAGGCGAATGCACGCGACAATTGTCCAACATTCAAGGATATGTGAAATACTGATTATAGTTATTAAGTACGATATTATCTAATTCACAGTTTGAAGTTTTTACTACGATTAACCTTGCTACATTCTTTCAATGATTTTCGGTCTACTTGTATTTCTCAAACACAAAGAAATGTTCTTATTAGATATTAAATGTTCTTATCAAATGTATGATTTTCTAATTAAGTTTTATGTTAACTACCATTATTTGGTAATATTGGAAACTACACCAATGTAGATTAGTTTCAGAACTTTTAATTAAATTGAATTCTGTCCATCACGAAGAATCTAAGATGCAAAACAAAATCAAATTTTCGTAATTTCTAAATTTTGGTAATCTAATAATTTGAGAGTAATTTTCTTAAAATATTATAAATCTATTTCATTTGCTAAACTGAGTGTAAAATTATCGAGTGAAATTATTAAGTTTAGAATTGTCTCAACGAAAAACCCGAAAATAAAAAGAAAAGGTAAAAGAGAAATAGTTACCCGTAATTATGCGCTACGAGGACGCACTTCTGGCCAGGCTTGAAAGCATAGTGGCACAGTATCCTGTCCAAATCCTTCAGCAGTTTGTTAAAATGGTAATCTCTGGATCGTCCAGGTGCAGAGCTCATTCCGTGTCCGAGCATATCCGGCGCAATACAAGGATAACCCAGAGCCGAGAAATATCGAAGCTGGTGCTCGAAAATCTCCGCCGAGGATCCGAAACCATGAAGGAACACGATCATGGGCTTTCGATTTTTCCTAAACGTGACCAAATTTTGCGGATTCTCTTCGACAGGGGTGGCGTTCTCTTCGATGTTCGGCCAGGTCTTTCTGTAGTCCTCGAGTTCGATGCACGCGGCTGCCTCCTTCCTCAGCTCGAACCTGCCCATTTTCTCATTCCAGCTGCTCTTTTCCAAAGAGCAGCGATCAGCCTCGTGGTCGGTCGATGTCACGGCGAACTTTCCTCGCAGCTTGGCGATCGCGTTGTTGTCCTTTTTGGTCCCGAAGGACGGCTCGTTGCCGTTGTCCTTGAATTCCAGCCGCAGTTTCTCGAAACTGGGCTCGTTAACAGTTTCCTCCAACTCCTTCAGATCCACCGCGGGCACGCCACGCTCGAGATTATCCGCCGAGATATCGATTGCCCGAGCGGTTTGAACGCTCGAATCCTGCGGCTCGCTCTTTTCCGCGTCTTTCTTCCCGGTGACCTCCGATCTCTCGGTGCCTCGATCGTTGCTCAGTTGCTCGCCACTTCTCGGAATCACCGTCTCCTCGTCCGTTCTCTTTGTCGGCCGGCCGTGAGCATCGTTCTCCCGGCCACCTGCGCTCAAATCCTCCCAACTGTTTCTCAGGGCTGTTCTACCGAGCTTCTCGTCGATGATCTTCAACAGGGATTGCTCGAGGCTCGGCTCCTGATCCGGTTGGAATTCGATGGTTTCCACGCTGTTTATCCCGGAATCGACACAATCCAACTGCTCCAGTGTGACTTCCGTACCGATCGATCGTCTCAGGTAGAAGTCCAACGAGTCGGGATCGTTGCTCGTGCCGATGAAACCGCGATTCACGTATCCCTCGCCGTCGTTTAACAACGCGTCGTCGCTGTTCACTCGCCGATCCGATCCTTTCTCGTTCCTCCCGATTCTCCCCGAATGAAACGAGAAGCTGATGTCGTCGAACGATTCCTCGGTAACGCGCTCCTCTTCGCTCGTTGGTTTCCCCTCGTTCGGCTCCCCTTTATCGCGGCTCGATCGCCGCGACGTCGAACGATCGTTTCTCTTTTTAGAGCTTCTCGCATCCTTGATAAGAGCGTCGTCCGCAGCCGCCACGTACCTCACCGTGTCATCCAATATCTCTTCCAGCAGCACGTTAATGTACTTCTCCAGATCCTTCACGATTTTGTTTTTCATCGTTTGCTCGTCCGCTTGTTGATCGTCCATAACAGTAGTTGCTTGGTCGATCGCTTGGTTCGTTCCAGAGATACCTTTTTCTTCCATGCTGGCCGATTCATCTTCACCACCGGAAACCTGCAGTTTTTGTAAATTCGCCGACACCCTGTGCTCGAGTTCCTCGATCGCCCGTCCGCTCTTCTCCGCCTCGCACAGGCTCGTCCGGATTCTGTTTAACTCGTCGGAGATGATCTGTTCCTCGGCAGTGCTTGCCCGCTTTGACTGTCGAAAAGAGCATCTGCAGTTGCCGGACGAATGAGGCCTCCGGGACCAGCGAGTGAAGAAATTGTCGGTGATGGATTCGGGTCTTTCGTTCGTGTTCTCGTAATACCAACAGGTCTTCAAGCTTGGTTTCAGGACTCTCAATGTTCGCCGCGGTCCAGCGATGAAGAAGTCGCAGTCGGGAAGTTCCACTCTACCCGGATTTACTCGGTTCCTGTTTCTCCAATATTCGAAGAACTTCGCGTACCAAGGTGTCCCCGATAGTGCCTCTTCACCCTCCGTAGCCATGTTTTCAGCGGGAGTTCGTCGCGTTTTGCGATCATAAAGATTGCTCCAATATTTTCCACGAGATCGCAACGCTACGAGATACACTTTGCCGTGGAACGCTTGGAAAATCTCACGTGTTATAATTGGCTAATGTTCGCTAATGGTCGAGAAATTGACTGAGGATCGTCTCGTTTCCGGAGTTATGCAGTCGCAATTTGCGCCTCCTCAATGCATCGTGAACTCTCTTGCCCGTGTACACTCTGACTCACTCTGCTATTTCCACTTTGTAAATAGAGGCAAGTTTGTTGAATATCGCGCTAGCGAAGTTGCAATTCGCTGCAAGTATTCTCACTTTTTTCGCGAGACTATTTAAAATATCAAAAAATATCAAAACATCTCTATTTTTTTTTTTTTTTTTTTCTTATAAAAATAACGCAATCAAGTTCTTCTCTTGCAATTTCTATTCGTTGAAGATTCTTTGCAATTCTCTTCCTTTATAGATCGTTTCGGCGAATATTTTCAACATCGCGATATTATTTATAGCTGTCTCTCGTTGTTCTTCCTAAAACTTTTTAACGATATTGTCCAGTGTGACTCAGTCTCTCCTGCTCGAAGCTGGTTTTCGCGCAACGTCGAGTCAACAGATTACGCGCAATGATTTATGCATGAATATTTATAGGCATATTCCTTGCAGGTATTTTATTATGCTTGTGCATCGACGACATTTTCCTAGAAACTAAATTCTTACTTATCCGGGTATCGTCAGTACACTCCCTGTCTTCTCCCACTTTTTCTGTCTTCGATATTTGAGTTCCTTTTCCTTTGGAAATGTTCTTTTCGTGACTTGTTCGTCGCCTCTAACGAATCTCTTCGATTTTTCCTTCCAATTTGATCGTTCCACCGGGCTGCACGCTCGTAGCTTTGCAACACTTTTCCTGCAATTCTTGCAATCGTTGCTCGATCAAACACGATTTCCCCGCGAAAAACGAAAGTAACATTTCTCGCGGCTCCTTGCGTTAAGTAGTTTACGGCTCGTTGATTTGCCAATGACGTTTCCAACGTTGAAACAGCTGATTGCTACGTCTGACGTTTCGATCTGTGGATAATAAGTTTAATTGGTAAGACTAAGCATCATATTGCTATTGTCAATTAATAGACTGCAGATTTTTATGCATTTATAATATTATTATTTAAAATATTCAATAAATATGAAACTCAGTTGAGGTACTCAACATTTCTTATAACATTTTTATGTTTTGTAATTGATTTTCAAGTTGGCGAAGAAGATAGAAGAAAATTTGGGAGAAAAGAATATTGAATTCGGATCATTAATTTTAATTAAATTAAAATTAATAATCCGGAATGTAAAATCGATGTACAGATATTAGACTTCTTTGGATACAGGCATGTGAATTTCGACAATTTGTCCAAAACGAAGCGATGAAACATAAGTACTAGCTACCTTCCAGTTTCTTTCAACTAAAAAGTCTTTTAATATCGCCAAGATACTAATTAAGATACGACAAACAAATATTTAAAAAATTAAAAAGGATAAACGAAATTACGGTGAATGATACTTCTCCATAGCTAGTTTCTAAAAGATCGAGTGAATATATTTATTATTTCGCTAGTTACATTCAATCTGCGGTATAAAACGCTCGAGGAACATCTGTAACTTAATAATCGACTTCCTTGTATGTTCGATCTGACTATGAGAAATAATTATTCATACTACGAGGAATAAAAACACCGAACGCATACTTAAACGTTCTGGTATGCTGTTCATTTGCAATGTAAAAATTTGTTGGTAACTGTTACGTCAATCGGCTGATAATTTTCAGCAACGTATTTTTAATAATTTCTGTGTCGTTTTCCGCATTGGCTGTTCTTATTTTATTACATAAACGATTCTTCTTTTAAACAGAATAATTGTCGCTTCAATCTGCGAACGATGAGCCGATCGTTATATCGTATTTTAATGTCGTCTCACATAACAGATGCACGAGTGACGAAGCTTACGTGAGGTAGGAACGAAATAATAGAATGTACATTGTATATCCTGCAGGATAATTCTCATTATCGTGCTACACAGAAGTCGTATATAATATATTGTGCAGCTCGAACGAATGAATAGTCAGACTAGTCTTTTTTTAGGCGTGATTTAATTTGATGTTTAATTAGATATGATGTATGATGCACAGTGACTGAACTAACGCGTAAAAATTAGAAAACTACAATGATCAGAACGATTCGAAATAATCGAGTTATCCGTTTTGTTAAAGATTTGAAGAAAAGAAAGCAAGAATAATCTCAAGTTTTCTGCTCTCTCGAAACACTTATTCTCTTTCGGAATATTCGATTATTCATTGCGAATAAGCGCTTAAGAGCTGCAATTTTATACTGTGAAACCCGTTATCAGAATTTATTTTCAATATTTCCCGCGCGAACGCGGTCTAATTTAAAACTACACAGAAGCCTTTGTAATAAAAGATTTAGAGAAAAAAATTATAAATTTTGTGCGAAATCGGTAGATTTATTTGCTCCGAACTTCGCGAAATGTATATTTATTTCTCTATCGTAAAATTGATTATAATCAAAATCTATCTTTCATATTTCCCGCGCAATGTGATCCAGCTTAAAATCGTGCAGAAGCTTCGATCTAGATATCCCAGATTAAATCTCGATCAGATCTAACTGCATTTATAGCATCGTACAATATAGCATGTCACAGTTAACCGTCATATAGACCCTTTTTATCAGAATTCATCCGAATTCGCTGATGGAAAGTTCCATATGTGTGCTAATTATTCCCATACCAGGAGTGAGAGTTATACTTCGTTATATAGCTATCTATCCTTGATATAATTACGTCTACGTTCCGTGTCCATTATGCAGGTTATTCGAATAAATCAGTTCTCAGCATGCCAGCGCGTTACTCATCGAACTATGGCCGTTAGATTGTTCAGCACCCAGAACGATTATTCCGAAAATAACCAAGCGTGTGCATTCAAAAAATAATATAATTGGAAACGATATTATAGAATAGTACTGGCGTACCACGTCTCTAACAATTGCACAGTTACTACGTTAATCGTAACGAGTAAAATTCAACTTCCTGTTTCACGGTAGCTGGACGAAGATACTCTCGTTACGCGGAATTTTCCGGGCGAGAGGAGATAAAAAAAAAAAGAAGAAAAAGTCGCGTGCGTCGTCAAATGCGTTTGTTCGTTTAACACGTGCCGTGCAATACTCGTTCAACGCCGGGGTCGTGACAAACGTTCGTTACTTGCCCCTTGAACCTTGGCTGACGACCGGCCTTTTTTTCCCCTCCGCGGTGAACATACACGTCTGGTAGGTAGCAGACGTTAGCGAAGCGTGGTTCAAAGTTGACTGCAAGCTCGTCTCATCCCTCGATCGCTGAAAAGACCACTTGTTGCTCTCGCGGCACCGCCAGTGATTCTCACCTTCTTCGAACGGCACGAGTTACGTTCGTTGACAAGTCGAAAAGTCGTTTCCTTCGGCACTAAACACGCGCAACCAGTCGTCAGTAACGCACTGCTTCCCCTGCGTCCACTCTCTCTCAATGCGCCAGTTAAACCGTCAATTGACACTTGCTCGCGGCGAGGACTGTTCCCGCGCGGTTAAAAATCGAGCGTCGATCCGCCGAGGGGAACCACTTTCACGAGACGCGAGAGCCGCTCGACGGGGGTACACGTCGAGAATTCATGTTCACTGGTACGGCTTTTTCGGCCGGTTATCCACCAAGGAAGAGCAGGCGTCGACTGTGCAGTTTTTCGACACGCACGGTCGCGTGTCGGTATCCACGGCGGTTCTCGACGACGATCGGAACATCCGCGAACAGACGGCGTTGGCACGACCGAGGACAGAACGACGACGATCGCCGAGGTACACCGTGTCGTAGAGTCTCGTCGACTGTATGCACGCCGAGGTAGCGCGCATTTTCGTGGGCGTGGAGCGGCGAATTAAAACGGGAAAATTAAGGACGATTGACACTGAACCACCGCACGTCGGGTCACGGCGGCCATTGCGCGTCCCGGGGCACACGCACGCCGCGCACACGAGACAGCGCCACCCCACTTCGCGCGCTTTTCTACACGGTGTCCTTGCCGGTTCTCTCTAGTTCTCTCCAGTTTTCTTATTCTCTGAGAACATTTCGTTCGTTTCAAGTAAGTTTTCCCTTAATTTTGTCGATAAAGTTCCGATTTCCACAGGAATTCACAAGTTGTTTCTTTTGTTTCGCGTAACAGATTCCACGAAGCGCTCGATTTTGAATCAACTGGAGTCCGAAGTGTTAGGTTAGGAAAAATGGCGGGATAAGGAGTAAATTACATGTGGTGTAATTATCAGGTAATGGTTAATAATCATAATTATCAGCAGCAAAGGATATTATATTAATCATTCCAAGAATATTATGTTAATTATGATAAATGCACAGTCATTATGGAATGAATCGTCATCATTCACGAATGATATTTCAAAAAGGCGAAAAAAGTGAAATCTCACTGAGACTTTTCCACAATCGTTTTTCAATAATCATGAATGTTTATTTAATAAACATTCAAGCGTGTAATATTCATCATAATTAATATTCTTCAAATTGAAGGTAACCCTCGTAGCATAGTCACGAGTGTTAACCTTATCATGTGTTATTATGTTAAACTTATCATGCGTTTATTATTATAAATATATCTTTAACAGCTTTTCGTTAAAATTTCATTGTATAATTTTCTATCAATGTATTAACCTACGTGAGGCAAGTAGTTGTAATTCTAAGACACCCAATATATTTAGCTGGTCCGGTAAGAATCCATTGCGCTGAAAGCGCAACGTGCTGCTCGCTACCACAGTGCCCGTTACTTTCCTGCCGTGCTCACGTCATAGGAACGAAGGCCCGATTCCCTTCCACGATCAGTTTTGGAACCGTAGTTCCATCAGATACCAATATATTTTTCATCTTTTCATTAAAAATTAGGAGGAAGAAACCGTATAGAATATCGCGATTCTATTGTGGTGGATCAGCCGGATCTTTTGACAATTTTTAAAACATTGCACTTTATGAGTAGTACTACAAAAAGATGTCAATATAAGATATAGTCATGTTCTTCTAACTTTTTGTGAAAATAAGCTTTATGCCAACATTGCAATTGTTGTAAAGTGAAAATATACATATGGAGGATAAATATCTAATAAAGTAAATTCATGTATTGGTAGGATTTTTATTTTCAACAAAATATTAATCAATTTTCATTCGATTTTGTCGTCAAATCAAAAAGCATTGATAGATTAGTAAGAGTTATCGTTATTCATCGATACATTCAAACATACATTGATCGTTCGATCAATCTTTTTTACATTTGAAGAAGATGGTTATTGGACGGAAGCAAAAAGAGCAATAACAGAGTTGATATCGTTGACTACGTTAAACTTCTTTGAGACTTTTTATTCCAAAAAAATTAGTAAAATATAGATTATTCCACATTAATGAGAAATTCAATATTCAAAGTAAGAACCACCCGACGTTGAATATAGAATATCAGCACGTATAACGATGTGCTTCCGGTGATCGAACGGTACTAAGAAAACGAGGTTAAAACATTAATGGTAATGTTAAATTTTTTAGGTCACAATATACGGTCCATATACGTTCTTATATTTCAGTAGATACTCTATAAAATTGATAATTTCATTTTTAACTTAAAACTGTAAAAAATTTTAGAAATAAATGGTGACACATAAACGATGATTCTCATATTACAAATTAGAAATATTGAGAACTACTGAGAACTTGTATCAGAGAAATGAATATGCACAGAATAGAAAAAAGTTTATAACAAATAAAGAATACAAGCATTTATTTATATGTTTTACTAAAAAATCTCTAAGACTGTAGCACTGTAGCATAACCAGTTAATAATTTTATTCAATTGGTAGTTTCAACTAGTCTTTTAATGTTAAACCAAATAAATTTATACTATTGGTTTGTTTCTTTCTGTTTCTCTATCTTATTCCCGCGTTTTCTTTATTCTTATTAATCGCAGTTGTTTACGATAAGATGTCAATGGTTCGCGCGTTTGCGATGAAATCACGTGTTCGATTAGAAAAAGCATAGAGCGACAGCATTGATATTCTGATCGTCATCTTTGTACCGTATGAATGACGATTAAAATTATTTTCAGCGACTGCAATACGGGACCGTGACCGAAATTATTGGCAGCATTAACACATATTTTCTGCGTTAGATGATAATAAAATTTATTCTACTTTTTTTTTTATTAAACGATCCGTTGCAGATTCGATCTTTATTCGTGCGTGCTTTATGAAATAATAGGCGTTTAATTAAGTAATTAGAGATCACAATCATTCTGATCACGTCTGCAGGAATGCAATTGGTATTTATAAATAATTAGTGCAATTTCAATCCATTTACTACGTAAAAGAATGTGGAAGTTGCAAACGGAATAATTAGATTATATTTATGCAAGTTTAAATTTTTGTGAACGCAACGAAAGAAATAGAAGATCTAGGATTTATTTTATTTTCTACATATTGTAATAGATGTTTTATCTTGGACATTTTATAGATTTTTGTATGTTTATATATTCGTGTGCATTCCTACATTTATAATTTCATATAAATGCATAAATATCTACGATCGAATAATAACGTTAATAAATTTACGTAAGAGAAAGATTTCTTCGTTCTTATCTCGTATAGATCCGCAAAAGAATGCAAAACGCATTCTACGTAAGCATGTCTCTCTTGAGATATCTACTGAAAGAGCTTCACAGATATTGATTGAGCAAAAATAAAATAAAATAAAATATATAGGATGTTACAACCAGTCTGATAAATACATTGATGACCTATCATAATGTCTTCATTGTTGGGAAATAATCTAAGCAAATACATGAGAGAGAAGAATTATAAAGTATCGATTTAAAATTTTTATAAACATCACCTATCAATCTGTAATTTACGTTGTGCAAAGTATCTCCATTTATGTAGTAATGGTAATGAAAAGCAGACGTATATTTTCTAAAATAAATTTCCATATTTTATTGTCTGAAGTAATAGAGAGACCAAAGTGCTCGACTAATAGAACTTTCAAATGAAGATCAAGAAAATTGTCAATTTATTTCAATAGTTAAGAATACTATATTCTTTCCTTTTGCTGCTGGATTACTTAATTTTGTTGCCATAAATAATTCTGTGAAGTTACATTCTTTCAACGTGTTTTTTTTTTTCTGTTACACCTATCAGCAGAAAGAAGGGGCATTATCATCTTTGTTTGCTATCTTAGATTGTGCAAAAATTACGCGCATCTACGATATCTTTCATCACCGGACCGTGAATTTTTATGCGAGTTTGCATATTATCGCCCTGATGTTTAACATCTATGAACATTATGTAAAACATGTCATTATCTTATCCTGCACATATATTTTGTCACAAAGAAATTCCCTTCGTTGTTCGCTGGAAAGTCATATCAAGAGTGTATAATCAGAGGCTGTTGCCAAATGTTTGCCGTTTCCATCATGTTTATGCGTTTACGCGTATAATCATATATCGTATGCCGTTCTAGCAAAACCGAACAGATTACTGGCCAAGACTTTATATTTTTTAATTCGCTCGAGTATACACTTTCGCATTCAAGGAGATAATTGAACATCGCATCTGATTCCGAACTAACCGCGAATCATAAAGCGGAGAGCAGGCAATAAAGAACTGCGAATGTGAGATATTATTACAGGTGTATTACAAGTGTACATTTTTGTTTCTGAATCTTAAAATCTTCCGTGTATGTATTTTGAATCGTCGTTGAAATTGCAGTAATTGAAAAACTACAAGTCGATTACAATTTTCTATTTTCTTTCAATCGATGAAGTCTAGAAAGGAAAGTTGATTATAGAAGTATTTATTTCAGAAAAATAATAATAAGCAACATTTGCAAGTACTATCATTGTTTAGCTTAAGCTTAAGCATGCTCACCAGAAACTAAAAAAAAAGTTCAGAATAATGTAATTAGATATATAGTAAATTTAATATAAAAAATATTGAAAAATATATTTTCCAGCCGTGAAAAGAGAGATTATCTAAAAATTGATACCGTGAATAAAAAAAAAATAGCGCAAAATAGATGAGAATATTTCTTCGTGAAGATGGACAAAAGATCAACGTAAAAATGCAAGAAAAAAAGAATGTTTTCCAGCATGGACCGAGCATCGGTGTTTGACTCGCGCGTTGACTCTTTCCCGACGAAGCGCAGGGAAGAGAAAGATTCCAACGGAGCGATGCGCGATAAGCAGTGCAAATTTGTCATGGTAAAATCGCGGTGAAAAATTTACGCGTTAAAATATTAGCTTAGAGCACGGCGACGTTCCCCGGTATCTCTTGCGCGCGGCGCGAAAAAATCTTCTAGCTCTGTAACGGAGGGGTTACGACGGCGTTTGCAGGTCGTTTACCCAACGTCGGGTAATATGAGTATAAAGGGACGCCCGGGTCGTGGCAGTCGACTATTTCGTTAAAATACCTCGCGATGCAACCGCGAACATTCTGCTTTATTGCCATTTTTATTGGCTACGCGGTGTTCGTGTATCCCGCCCTCGCCACGCCGGTCGCGGTCACCGAGGCAGCCATATCGGAGGAACAAAAAGTTCTCGTCGATTGCCAAAACTCGGATTACAGGACCTATATAAAATGCCTGCGAAGACACAAGAGGCAACACTCGCTGCACGGGGAGTTCGGTTAGATCAGACGACTGTATACACGTTGTTCGTTGTTTTCCATGGGGCGCGATCGAAGTGATCAAATCTCTGATGGACGAGCCAAAGGAGAATTAGTCACAATCGTTGATTAGCGAGAGAAGCGTTTGTAACATTTGAATTTAAAGCAATGTAAAATCAAGTGTCGCAATGTAAAGCCAAGTGTCAGATTTTGATTCGTGAAAATTGATATTCCAGATTGTTGATTCTTATGTAAATTTCTTGAAAATAATTCAAAAAGTGCAATCTCTGCGTAGAGATTTGTTTAACTTGATCGCTTCGATCCAGATAAAAAAGTTTAAGTACAGTCGGAGGGGGTTAACTTTGCGAAATCTAAGCTTTCGATTTTCGTGCTCAGTGCAGTTGACATTTTTATTCTTTCTTCTCGTGTCACATAAGTATTAAGATTTCCTCCTATGTCCTTTTTATTCTGAATTATTTGTCAAATTATTTCACATTAATGAATGTTAATGTGAATTCTGCCAAGATCATACCTGTTGGGACTCGTGTATAAAGAAATGCCAGACAGACTTTACGTCGGAACCATGTGACAAGAAATGTAATCACTGTTTGAAGAAAACGAGGCATAAGGTTCAAGTAATCACAGAATATGAAAATGAATGCGTCCATGGGAATTGCAGCGTACCTAAAAATGGCGATCATTTAGGAACCACTAATATTACTACGAAGATTGATATTCATAACGTTATTAACAATAACGCAAGTGGAATAGGTGGAACAAGTAGTTCAATGTGCTGTCGTAAGTAAACGATCATCTTGTTAAACATTTCATTTTAATTTTTAAATGGGCCACTTTAGATTTCATTTAATTTTAAATTAACGATTACATTACGTATTGATCTCATTTGAAGATTCATGTGATCTTTTATTATTTGATATTAGACTGCGGCTTGTTTATACATTTTTGAGAAATTTATGATTTGAACAATCTGCAGAACCTATATAATATATAACAAAAATATACGAAATACTCAAAGTAGAATTATAATATTAGTTGATGAAATAAATTTCCAATTAGTTTCCATTTCCTTACGCCTAATTATATTTATAGTATGTACTATAAAATGGCATAAACGTGCTATTGAACTACTTATTATATTTAGGAAATTTTTTTTTATCAATTCAATATAAATTAAACATAGATTTCTACTATTAGACTTAAGAAAATTCACTTAGGTAAGGTAAATGTTTATATTATTAATATGAATATAACCTTGTTAAATTAGCTACATGTAATCCACCAATTCCATGCGGTTCACAACCGCAACCCCCGCAACATCCGCAACAACCGTGTCCTCCACACATATGTCATCCGCCACAGGCACAGCCACAGCCACAGCTACCTTTTCAGTTATCGTTGGTACCGCAGCTATCTTTGGGACTAGGTCTTTCATTAGGTACTGGATGTCAATGGCCTTTCCAATGGCCTTGCTACGGCCAAGTAAGTGATTGAAATATTTTTATGTTCATTTAATGCAACGATTCCTAATTTTTACTTCACTATCTTCTCCGTCATATATGTTCATATATCAGAATATCTCCCTTCTTTCATTCTCTAAGATATAGAAATTTTTTGCCAAATTCCAGATAAAAGAGCTTCTATCTTAGGATATTAGTACTTCATGTAAGTTTATTTTGTTAAATAAAAGTTTAATGATATTTTATATGTAACTAATTTATTTAAATACATTTAATTTTAGTAAAGATCACAGTTAATGAGAAATCTGCGTATGTAACTGCATATCCTGATTGACTAATATAATAAATATAACATGATTTCCTTTCTTTGGATAAACTTAACATGACGCTTATATCGTTACAGAAAATCTGTCAAAATTCGTTTAATGTCGTTGTTTAATTATTGTAATTATTTTTTTACCTTTGTTACAGAATTGGACGAAACCAGTAGGACCAATTGACTGCTCGGGTTGTACACAAGGATTGTACAGTTCTTTTAGATGTGACGTGTCTTGTTACGCGACACAGGGTGTGCAAACTTCTAATTCCAAGCCTTGTGTGAGTCCATATTGTGTGGGTGGTGAGTTTGATAGACAATACAATTTATAATATATATTATCATTCTTGATAGTGTATCGAATCATCAATTTGCAGAAATATCATTCTAATAGCATTTTTCGTAGCAGAATTGAATACAACTATGAGAAATTAATATATGAAATAGATTATCAATGCGTGAAAATGTTTGCAATAAAAATTAACTTTTAGATATTGTACTTTCCTTAATACCGCAACCTGAAGATTGGCAGGGTTTATAAATTAATTTTTTAACAATACATATGGTATTTATAATAGATATTTTCATTTTCAGGTATCCATTGATAATAAGTATCAAAAAAATTGCGAGACTATAAGATTTATATGAACTAAAACAGAATCCGAAATATATTTACGTTAATTTGTCGTTTCTGCTCTCGAATGTAGATATTATAATAAAATTGTTCTATAAATATTATATGAATTAATTTAGCCTATAAAAAGAAAATATCTGCTGTTATATGGTAATAAAACTGTTATGTTTAACTTATGTTAAATTAGATTACTGGTAACTTGTATCGTAATTATTTCTAGAGGAAGTAAAATATTTGTATGAAAGTGAGATGACTTAACAACAGTGTAACAGGCGTTTTTAAAATTAATAGTGTTACCATAATATGTCGCGTTAGTCTTACAAAATTGTTAACAAATTTATAATATATAATTGATAAGCATAAGAATACATTTTTAAAAGAATAGATGCTTACATTTTGATATTTATAAGAACTGTAATATTTTACAAGAATTTATTAATACTTGATAAAAATATACTACACTATAAAATATTGAGAAATATTTAAAAAAAAAAAGATACATGTGCAGCTGTTACCTTCATCGTATCACGATACTCTGCGCCTACGGATACAACCTGTTCAACTCGTATGTAAATGATTGCATATCACAGAGAGCATACAAAATACTTTCTAAAAATAAGTACACGATTATACATTTTAAATTTTTTCACATTTATCTAATTAATTTCTCTAATAGCAAATTTAACCGCTCTAATTAAGTTCTCTGATATATGTGGATATATAAATCTCACACATGTGAGTAATGAATAAAAAAATCACAATTCAATGTTGCACGTACGTACGATCGTTAATTGTATTTGTATTTTCAAGCATTATTTATGCCACGAAAGTTAAATAAAATTATCGCATTTTATCTATTCTCCCAAACGATCCCACTGCACTTCTCAAAATGAAAACATGACACCTGTTCATCGAGCCGAACTTTTACTTCTGCTGAGAAGCTACTTGAAATAGACGCGTGCATTGGAAACGCCTGTAAGTTTCAACCAGAGTTTGACAGTACAGACAAATTGTACTCTAAATATCAACATTTGATTCGCATTAACTCGGATAACGAAAAGATGGCACGGCATTTCCTGTCTTCTTCGATGTACCTAAATCGATTAACTCCACGAAACAAAAGGTAGAGAAATTGATAAAACAATAAGTATACATTCTCCTTTAAAGTTTTTTTTGTGGGCGTAAACAATACATTCCTGGAATAGTCACACTAGCTGCTGAAATAAATTATTTACTATTCCAGGGCCAAAAAGGAATTTTGGCTAACGATGTTACGCTAATTATTGAGGAAATTTATTTTAAATGTGAAATAAATAAATTAAATAATCGATCATTTGACACTAAAATAATTCAAAAGGTCGAGTTAATCACTTTGAACCGCTCAATTGATGATGTGACCTCGTTTTGTTGGACTAGTGATCCCCTGCGGAGAAGCGAGGCTTGACGTGTCAGGTGTCGGGAACAGGTGTTGGATCCACGATGGCTGTGTCGCGGTACGGCACAGTGCAGTGTTCCGTTTCGTTCAGGTGCACCGTGGCGAAACATACTGCTATTATAGTTTACGATGAGGGTTAAGAAAACTGGCGGAATTGTTTCTTACGTTTAAGGGTGCGCAGGTGAAATGAAATGCGTGCTTACAGGTACCTACTTGCTTACTTACACCGCGTGTGCACAAAGTTCGCCCTGATGGTGTATAAAACTGCTAATCAATTCCATTTTATTCCAGCCGGCAATGTTGTAAAAATTGTCGAGTTTTGGGGAAACTATCATCGTTTAGTCGCTATAACGATCAACGTGAGATCGATATTTTTCTCTCCATTGATGCATTGTTACTTGAAACTTATGCTTGGACATAAGCGAATCACTGCGACAAATTGTATTTTATCGACGTTTTTATCTCGATTCTTTGCCATTATGGGTGACCTAAACGTGGCACACATTTTGTTGTTTATCTGCAATTAAGAAGAGTTCCTTTTATATTTAATTTTGTACAATTTGACGTTCACGAATCAAAGCACCCTTCAGTCTTTATTTCTACTTAACGCTGATCAGTTTGGAATTAATCAACTTAGCAAGCAGTGAGAAAAGAAGGCTTGTATGTACAGTTTAACGATTTAAGAAGATCGCAAGCCGGCTGAAACATCCGATTGGAAACATTTCACACACAGATACGAGCCTATTGCACGTTTCGCAATACGTTGGATAATGTTGGATAATAGCGAAAGTAGTCGCAGCATCTTGCCGTGGGAATGGCAGCTTGTTTCTCCTACTCGCACATCCATTCGAACCATAGACGGATTCTTTCCTGAGCAGAAATTATTAGAAGAAGTATTCCATCGTCGTCGTCTCCCGGAGAAGGTTCGTGACCGCAATATTTTATTGATCTTCCGAGAAACTCATTGCATTCAGAGATTTTCCATCTCTGGTGTACGTTTTTCGTCGTTTACATTTCTGTTCGATCATTTTTTTTTTATCATACAAAGCATATTTTATTTCCGAAATTATATAGTAGGTATTTAAAATATGAACTGCTTGTAATTATACTGTGAATATTTATGCAAATACATATTTTTACAAATATGATTTAAAAAGTTAAGCTTAGACGGAAGATTAAATATTGTAGCATTATATTTTTGATATTTTTCATATTTTTGCATATTATATTTTACGTATTTTTGCACCATCTAATTTTCCATAAATGTATAAAAGTATGCAGTTTACTTGTAATATGCAATTATTGCGGATTTTTATACAAATTCATAATTCTGAGAATTTAATTAAGGAAGTAAAATCTGGATAGAAAATTATAAAATACAATACTGTAGAAAGCTCTATACTTTGGATTATAATATATATTTTATAATATATATTTTTTCATATTATATGTATTTTGTGCAATGTTGTATTTTAAAATAAGATTTTTTTCTAGTTATTATTTTTATTTCTTTTATAATAGAAAATGTAAATGTATCTCCTTGGATTATTATTGCTGTTTTCCTTATCTGTAAGAACAAAGTATAATACTGGTTAAACATATCATACTTTTGGTCATAATTTTCAGAAAGGAGTAATGTGTTCCTCGTTTAAATCTGTATGTTTAACAACAGTGGTAAATATAATACTGCGATTTTTTATCCTTATCATAAGAAATGCTTTCTTTGTCATAAATGATAGAGACATGACATAGATACTAGTTCTTAGAGAATCGAATCATATATTTCCCTTAGAGTTATACAAGCGATCGTGTATGAATTCATAGAAAGTTGTTGAACATGATTTTCTGCTCTTTACATTTGTCGTAAAAATTTATGGTATCTATTGCTTTCACTTAATCGATATTCTGTACAATTACATGTACACAATATATCTATTTAGCCATTATAAATCTACACGAGATTTAATAAGATATAAAAAGTATAAATATATACAAATTATTAATTGTATTATTACAGAAGACAATTGGCTGTTGCGCGAGAGGAGGTTCCATCAGCCTGCATTCGCCACGCGAATTCTAAGCCATTTTATTTGTTTCACACGATGCTGGACAACAGTGAATCGCACATCTTCCCTTCGAGCAATAAAATTTACTGTGGAATACCATCCATGGGCTGCACCAGAAACGATAGATCCTTTCTTTCTGTCGAGAAGTCATTTCACGCAACGTGCACTTCATCCCGGGGATAAGGATCGCTATCTTGCCGAGGTAAGTAAGTTCAAAGACAAAAGAACAGTTTGTAAAGGTTATAAAGTTTGTAAAGTTCCATTCTCGAATTCTTTGTTGTGTTGAAAAATTTTATTTTTATAAAATATTATAAAATATTGTGGACATGATATTGAAACGAGATTAATCCCTTAAGAGTTCATGGAGTTTCAAGAATTCAGAATTTTATGCCCAAAAAAATAGCGTTTTTTAATTTTATTATTCTACAAATTTTTATACTTAAGTTTGAAATATTATATGTTGAGAAGGAGCTAGTGTTGTTGCATATAAAAAGAATTATGAACGTTTGTTACGTTAGCAAACATAACACGCCTGCGGGAAAAAAGATAACACGCTTTATATTTTCTTACATTATGTGTATCGCAAAGTAGATAATCGAATATCGATATTCTTGGAATATTAGGATTCTTGGAATACAGTGGATATTTGTGTACTACGTTGACTGTCATTTCCGAGAGGCATTTTTCCAAAGAGATACAAAAACGAAAATGTAAATATTGCGTAGCCTCGAGGCAGTAGGTTTTTTTACAAGTTCGCGTATTTATGCCCCTCAGTCGTACAGAAGCTACCGAAAACGTAACATTCGTGTGAAATACAGTGAGTTAAGTGCACATTTGTAAAAATGTGTCGCGAGAAAAAGTGAAATCTAGCTGAGATAGACACGATATTGAAATTAAACAAAGAACGTTATTCTGTGACAAAAATAGCTAAAACAGTTAACGGAGAAATCGTAAAATGATAATGAACTTATCAAAAGATCCCGATAATTGTGAAAAAAGAAAAAAATGTGCAATGTTATAATAAACGTACTTTGATACGTGTACCGTCAAATTCGACGTTTAATCCCGTTAGTTATAAAGTGCAGAATCGAACCATTCTCATTGATGGAATGATCGTAGACACCTAAGGTAATGTTACAGTGTTCAATCTCGTACGAGGTAGAGGAATTTTTTTTATTAGGAATTATTTAGAACGTTTAATCCTGTATAAAATATGAAATCGAATTTTCCGATTAGGGACGGTTACAACACCCATGAGAGTAATATTAATGATTTGAAAGAGGAAGTGCCTATCCTCCAGATTACAGTGTAGCACACAGACGCTTATGTAGTATGTCGAAAAAAATTTGCATCGAATGGCGGACCGTGAGCATGCCAATAATATCTATCGTCGAACAATCTCTTTCAATCTTCCTACACTATTTTCTTCGTCATCGTTACAAATTGCGGAACGTTATCTAAATAATATCGTCTAAGTACACGGGCATCAATCAAATTATTCGTCGTTTAACCATGGTCAACGTAGTCTGTTTCCTTAAACGTAAATACTTTGATGACGCTCGTCTTGCGCCAGAGATATACGAGAGACGTTGAATTATGCCGACATTTTACTTATCTTTCGAGCAATCAAATAATTAGATAGCTTACAAATAGTTTCAATCATAGTGTACTATATGAATGATCAAACAGATTTATTATTTTATTATATTTTATTAAATTTAGCATATGCGGTATTATGAAGCGAATAGCCTCCAGACATCTGGTGTAGAAAAGATCGAATTTTAATTTACAATTATATTAGAATATCCATTGAGTGATCGTATTTTTATATTAGATACATATTAGAACATCAAAATGTAGGCTGTTTCTAAAACTCTGGCGACGTGTTGAAAAATTCTTTTTTTAAAGTCGAGATAAGAGAATTATTAATTTACTCGATACGATTCCTTTGCATAATGTATTTCTGATTATTCCAATCACTACATGCAGTTTCCCAGGGGGGGGATGGGGAATACAATTTGTCTTGTTTTGAAACAATTACTACACAACTATACAACGAGACATTAGATAGCATACGTAATCGTTCCATCGTTCAATTTAAACGCATCC